GGGAAACAGTTAGCAGGTATTTCAATAAAGTCTTGTCTGCAATGAATGGATTACGTGATCGGTACATGAAGCAAGCCCCAAAAGAAGTTCCCGAGGAGATTGCAAACAACTCAAATTATTTTCCGTACTTTAAGGTAAATTAAATACATACAACTTAATAATTTTCCAAAGAAACTTTTTTTTATTTAACTATGTATAATTTATAATTTTTTATAGGACTGCATTGGTTTGATAGATGGCACACACGTCGACGCGGTGTTACCTAGTGACCTAGTTGCACGGTTTAGAGGGCGAAAATGGGTCACCAAAAACATCTTAGCAGCCTGCACCCCCAATAAACTATTTACTTATGTCTTGGCTGGCTGGGAGGGGGCAGCAAATGATTATAGGGTATTACAAGACGCCCTGTCTAGGCCACAGCCTTACGGTCTCCGAGTTTACGATGGTATTCATTCTCACTTGTGCATATTATGAATAATATATTAAATACTTGGCAATATTTGAGATTTTAAAATACTGTTTAATTAATGTAGGTAAATATTACCTATGTGACGCTGGATACACCACAATGCCAGGTTTCATATCCCCGTATCGCGGTGTCCGATATCATTTAAAAGAGCACAAAATACTTGGCAATATTTAAGATTTTAAAATACTGTTTAATTAATGTAGGTAAATATTACCTATGTGACGCTGGATACACCACAATGCCAGGTTTCATATCCCCGTATCACGGTGTCCGATATCATTTAAAAGAGCACACCGGTAGGACACCAAAGAATAGGAAGGAGTTGTTCAATTTAAGGCATTCATCTTTAAGATCAAAAATTGAGTGCACATTTGGGATACTGAAGAATCGGTTTAAAATTCTTGCGGGGAAGCCGAATTATCCATTTCCCACTCAAGTGGACATTGTACTAGCGTGTACTGTGTTGCACAACTTTATTGCCTTGGAGGATCCGGATGATGATATTTTAAATGAAAATGTTGAAATTGATGAAGATACTGGGGAAGAGACAAATGAGGACGAATCAAATGTGATGGACTATACTCAAAGTAGGACACAAAGAGAGGATCGAGATGTTAGAAATGAATGGAAGGAGTTACGAGATCAAATTGCTTGGGCGATGTGGGTGGATTATTGTGCAAAGTACAATGGTGGTAACACAATGGAGAGCGGTTTAACTTAGTGTAGCATCTGTTCTATGGCTATGTAATAACTTGGTGAATTTTAACATACTGTTCGCATCGATATCTTTTATTGTTTCTAAGCCATTTGTAACAAACCATTACTACTTTTATCACTTGCTATTTTGTTATGTTGTTTGAACTAGAAATTACATCGTTTACTATATTCCCTGCTAAATGCATACATATCCCATATTCTATAAATTTCTTTATTGTTAATATGGCTATGCTTACAAAATATATTAGGTATGGCTAACAATCCGGCAGATAAGCAAAGCGGGCCTTCTCATTCGAATGCAATGCCAAGTCCTACATCAGGGATTAACATGAACTACATGCCTGTTCGACCACAGCCATTCACCTCACCTCAGCATACTTTCTCACCATTCCCACCATGGGATGGTAATTATGGTGGGATGACACAGCCGCCAATGTCATACATGAGCATGTTAGGCAGTCCACAAGGTTTGATGTTTCCCACAGCCAGTTCTCAAAGTAGTGGACCTAATCAATTTTCACCAAACACCGGTGATTCAGTTGGAAAGGATATTCATGACGTTGATGGTGCGGAGCACACTTCGCCATTGAAAATAGGGAAAAGATTAGCACACAAAAAAAAAGTTCCGTGTACCAGGTTGAACTCAAGAGGCGTGGCTAATAAGTTTTGGCTTCCAGAGCACGATGATGTGCTTATTCCTTATCTTGCAGATTTAGCATTGGATGGCATGAAGCCAGACAAGAACTTCAAGGCTGAAGCTTATAAAATGGCTGCCATGAAAATCAACATGCAATTCAGGACTGATTTCACTCACCTGCATGTCATTAACCACTTGAAATGTTTGCGGAACAAATTCAATGACATGAAAGCTTGCCTTGATATAAGTGGTGCTGGGTGGGATGAAACAAGTAAAATGATTACATTGGATGAGGAAACCTTGACATCTTGGGCCCAGGTATAACAGTTCAGCATCTATCTTGTCACATTCAATTAAATACATTTGATTCTCTGGATTTATAAGTATTTATTATTGCAGGACAAATCCAATTCTAAGTACAAAGCATACATAAACAAACCCCTTCATCACTTCAAAAATTTACAAGTTATCATGGGTGATGATCAAGCCAAGGGTGATTTTGTTAGACCCGTGTACGCTAACATTGGGTCTAGTAGGTCCATACCTATTCCCGATGATGATTGCGAGATTCTAGAGGAGAGTGAAGCTGAACCACAGTCTGATGCTTGCAACCAACCACGTTCTGGTGCTGTTAACCAACCACAACCCACTAGATATAAGACTAAGAGTAAAGACAACACGACTTCATCATCTAACAAAAAAACCAGAAAATTTAATCGTGAAGAGGAAATGATGTGTGCCTTTGTTGAGTCCATGTCTCAGTCAATGAGGAATCAACACGTTATACACTGGACTGAGCAGTTGGCCACAGCGTTGAAGGAACATAGGTCTGAATATTCCGAGGAGTTCCTCGATAGGGTTTTAGACCATTTATATGACAATGAACGTGAAGCTAGGAGGTTTTTCATTAAATCTAAGGAAGGTCAACAGAGGTACATCACAAAATTAGTTAACGACCAAGGTTGGCCAGATAGCTAGTTTGTTGGGTTTCGCTTATATTTTGGTGGATATTGTTGTGTTAATTGCAAACTATTAATGTTGCAATATGTATTTTCATTATGAAGAACATCTATGTCGTTGTGGGATTGATGAATTGGTATATTTGCAATCTTTGTTGCAGGTAAGGTCGTGGAATGATCATTGATTTCTTTGAATTTTCCGATTATATTTTGATATCAGGTAAGCTTTCTGCAGCTCATGCTGATGCTGCAGTTTGGGTGAGCTCATGTTTTGAGCTTTCTGCAACTCATGCTGCTGCTGGTTGCTGGTTTGTGCATGTTTTAAGTTTTCTGCAGCATTTGCTGCTGCTGGTTGCTTTGTGCAGCATTTGCTGCTGCTGCTGGTTGCTTTGTGCAGCATTTGCTGCTGCTGCTGGTTGCTTTGTGCAGCATTTGCTGCTGCTGCTGGTTGCTTTGTGCAGCATTTGCTGCTGCTGCTGGTTTTCCTTGCCTTTGCTGCTACTGTTGGGTTTGTTGCTTTTTTCTTCTGAGCTTGTGTAGCTCTTGACCCCTGGGTTTGTTTCTGTTTTGTCCAGAGCTTGTGTAGCTCTTGACCCCTGGGTTTGTTTCTGTTTTGTCCAGAGCTTGTGTAGCTCTTGACCCCTGGGTTTGTTTCTGTTTTGTCCAGAGCTTGTGTAGCTCTTGACCCCTGGGTTTGTTTCTGTTTTGTCCAGAGCTTGTGTAGCTCTTGACCCCTGGGTTTGTTTCTGTTTTGTCCAGAGCTTGTGTAAGCTCCTTGTAATGAGGGATTGCTTCTTTGTGGAGCTGTTTTGAGCTTTGTGCAACTCATGCTGCTGCTGCTGGTTGGTTTGCCTTGCCTGTGGTTTTCCTTGCACTTGATATGTGGCAATGATGATGATCAACGTTTACTGAGAATGCAACCTAACTTACATCGTTTATTATATCCAGATGAGGCAATATTTGAGATGAGATTGCAGCCTACATTGAATTGGCAATGTCTAGGCGAGGCAATTCATCTTTATAATGCAATCTGTAATAAACATGTTTAAGTTATAGGTGGGGCAATCAATGATGACAAGTTGATCTATTACTGAGCCATACAATATCAATTAGAATTTGTACCCAAGTCAAACAACAGTTTTCATTACATCCTCAATAGTTTTTGCAATTACAAGTACATGACATGAAGTTTGTAATAATTAAAATAACACAAAAAATTGCTAAGAAAATTGCCGAAATTTTCCAAGCTAGTAGTTGATTTTCGACAAGTCTCAATTCTTTCTTCAGCTTCTTTGACTGCAAGATATATTTATCTCCGTACCAATTTTCTTTGACATATTGGCTTCCTTGGGTGCTTGATGACTCTCCTCTTTCTTCAGCCCATTCGAAAAAATTGCATTCTTTATTTGGGAATTTTGCACACCCCCAATAACACCTACCCTTATTTTTTCCATTCTTGCACACTTTCATCGGTGTTCGGAGATTGCAGTCGCAATAAACTTCATAATTAGCATGGCACCCTTCTGATATCATCCTGCAGCAAATTGAAGAGCTTGGGAATTTTTTTTGGGTTGAAAAATGAGAAGTATGGGATTATATGTGAGGCCTCAAGATGTATTTATAGACACCATACCCCTGAAATAGCTGTTGCTACAGTGATTCCAAAGATACAGCCGTTGCTACAGTGTTTGATGCTTGCAAATTCTGATTTCTGGGCTTATTACCGTTGCTACAGTGTCTTTTTGCTGGAAATAAGCATTTGGGGGCTTAAATAGCCGTTGCTACAGTGGTTGTTGCTTGAAAATCTGTTTTTTGGGTGTTATTTCCGTTGCTACAGTGACGATCCCAAACAAATTGACTCCTTGAACCAAACTTGGTTTTAGGAATTGGAACAATTCTATAAAAGTGGGATTACTAATCCTTTGGGTGAAACAAACATTAAAAGCCAAAAAAAATGGGATTCCATAAAACTCAAACTTGTCTATAAAATTTTTATGGATTAGGTTGGAATCCATAAATTAAATAGGATTCCTAATCCTATTCCTAGTCCTTGGTGAACCAAACAGGCCCTTATACAAGCAAGTCTAATTTCGGTGGGCGTAAAAACACGAGAATAAACTGATCCATTTTGGATTATTCCCTCCACGTAGGACACTGCGTCACCTCTCTCCGCCAATAGCCTCTCACTCTTACTCGCCCGCCTATAAATTCCCCGGCCATAACCATCCTCTTTCTTGCTCTCAAAGCCAAAGCCAAAGCAAAACTCCAATTCTCGGATCACCCCCACGCCGGAGAAGAAAAAAAATATTCCGGCGACGCCAAAGAATCATATTTTAACGATTCCCTTTCTTCACTGCTAAGCTTTGTACTCGGATCTCCTCTTTTCTCACGAAACCCTAAGCAGAAAGCGAGCTCCTTTGTGGCAACCAGACGTCATTCCTTGCTTAATTGAGGCTACCGTGAAGTGAAATTTGGAAAATTTGTGGTAATTTTTGCGATATATGGGGTTTTTTGGAGGCGGGGGCGGGCCGGGGTTTCGCGGCGAAGGTCGGTGATAATTGAGATTTAATTGTTTGAGAATTACGATGCCGTTCCCAATGAAGATACAGCCGATCGATGCCGATGCCGAGGTCAGCATCGATCAAGCGAAGCCGGTTGTCAAATCGAGATTCAAACGCCTGTTCGAGCGTCAGCTGACTCGGATCTCGTCGTCGGAGAAGCTCGCCGGCGGCGACATCGAACCGAGCTCCGTCGTTCTCGACAAAATGGTTAGAAACTTCATGGAGGGAACCAACAACGAGAAATCGAGCATCCGGAACCGCTGTAATTGTTTCAATGGTAATTTCGATGGAAGTCCTGATGGCGATCTCGAGCTTGCCGTCGAAACTCCGGTCAATTACCCCGCTGACGCCGGCGAGATCCTCAAGGTACCAAAGTTTTCCCGGTCCGGCAATTTTTTTTTAGGGGTTTGTGGGTAAATTTTTCGATGTTCGTAATAAACAAACAAGATTTCCATTTTCAGGGGTTGGTTGTATGCGCGAGCGTTATTGAGCGAAATCTAGCGGCCGATGCATCGTCGATCATGGAAAAGAGGAATTCATCGTCGAGAGGAAAAGGAGAACCTAGAGAGATTTTGACCGAGGCTCTTCGATCCCTCGCGACCTACGATGCTGCCATCTGTAATCTCGCGAGAAAACCCCATCGTACCCCGCTGGTAAGTTGCACCCTCGCGTACACCCTAGACCCTTATCCTACGACACCGACCCCTCTCTAATTTCGGTCACTGTCAAACAGGCGAGCACAAGTACATCGACGTGATTGTCAACGGCGACCGGATCATAATCGACGTTGACTTCAGGTCGGAGTTCGAGATCGCTCGGTCGACGAAGAGCTACCGTGCGCTGCTCCAGTCTCTGCCGTCGATCTTCGTGGGGACTACCGATCGATGTGGCCGAGATCGTCACCGTGGCTCTCCGCAAGCCGGCGAAGGCGAGCTGCTGAAGAAGAAGGCTACACTTCCCGCCATTGGCGAATGCCTGAATACATGAGAGCGAAGTGGCTCTCGCGTCGAGAGGGAGACACGTGGCGAGGTGTCGGCCTTTGATTTGGAGGTGGAGCCGAGGGGCGGAAGAGGAGACGGTTGACGTGGCAGCCGCGCGGTGAGGCCGAAGAAGAGTTCGAGCGGGACGAGAGTTGTGACTGGGCTTGCTGCGGTTCTTCGAGCCTAAATTTTGTTTTGGTTTTTTTTTTCTTTAAATTTAATTTTATTTTGTTTAGGGTTTTTTAGTGCGAGAATATGTGTAACTTGTAGAGTAGAAATTGAGATGAGCTTTGTTAATATAGCGTTATGGTATGTCGAGAATAAAAGATTGTTCAATGGTTTGTTGTTGGAATTATTTTGTAGCTCTTATTTTTTGGAATCTGTATTGCACTCTTCAACTTTGAAAAATTTGACATTTTAGTCGTCTAAATCATTGGAATTGTAATTTAGATCGTCTGAACTTTTTTATTTTGGCTAGAAGTTGGATCACTAACTAACTACTTATGTTGGGTGACGTACCGACGAATTTTTATTTTTTATTTTTTTTATTTGGTAACTACATACTAACGATTTAAATGATACGGGAGACGAACTTTAAAATTTTTAGTGCAGAATATCAAAATATTAGATATCTTGTTAAAAAATTGAAAATATTACAGGAGTAGCTATATCCAAAAAGAAAAAGAAAACTATTGTTTTTTGATTTCGAAATGTTTGTTCTTCGAGTCAATCAAAGGAAAAAAGGAAAAATAAAAATAAAGAAAATTCTGGTGACGTCATTCCCGTGCGATCTCGAACGCCGTGAACGGTGCTCGATCGTATCCATAGGAACTGTGTGATCCTATACCCCAACCTGACGATAAAATACCTAAAGTCGCCACGGTTTCAACCAACACGAAATCTTATAACAGGGTTAAAACCGTGAATATGCACATTTTTGTAAAGACAAGTGTAAGTTAGCCATCTTGGATGTGGAATTGCTACTGTAAGCCGTTCTTATCCGTTTGTGGTGTGGGGTTCCCGTGATTCTTAACCGAGTACGTTAAGATCATTTTGTACCAACAAAGCGAGTGAAGGGGGAAAAGAAAAGAAAAGAAAAATTGATGTGATTGATTGGACTTATACCTTTCTTTATTGCTTTCTTTTAAAATTTTGCCTCTGATTACAATCATTGCCCTTGCTTTTTCTAGCATTCGTGATACTCTGCCAACAAGTAACCATAATAAAATAATAAAAGCTTTATGAAAAGATATGTCGGCCTTTTATCTTTGGCCTTTTGTGGGAGGGGTTGAAGGTTTCTTTCCAAACATCTGACACTACGAAGGGAGATTTCTGATTCATGTGCATAAAGTTTGATTCCCTAATAAAAATTGAATTTATATTCCCATATTCTAACTTATTAGTGAAAGAATTTTAACTTCAGATATTAATCGTCTATTTATGTATGAAATGTCGGTCAATCATTCAATATATAAATTCAGGCAATAAAGGATAATGGATAATGTGATTGGAGTAAAAAACAATTATTTATTATCTACCAACAAAAGGCACGATCTGGGTTCAAAATTCAGGCAATGAAGGATAATGGATATGAGTTGTTAACTACGCGTGAGGTTTGTTTTGATGCTCCAAAAATAGTTTAAAAAAAAAAAAATTAAATTGACAAAAACAAAAAAAATCAGTTAAAATAAGAAAGGATATTTTTGGAAATATTAAGTTACGGTCACATACTTAATTTATTTTCCCGTTAATTATTTTAACTTATACAAGGTTTTATGATTAATGTTGTGGAAACATTAAGTTACGGTCACATTCATTAATTTATTTTTCCGTTAATTATTTTAACTTTCTATTTTCACTCTTAAGTTGAAGCTTATACCAGGTTTTATGATTAATGTTGTGGAAACATTAAGTTACAACCACAATCATTAATTTATTTTTCCGTTAACTATTTTAACTTCCTATTTTTTATTAATTCCTCAGGTTATGCAGCAGTAGCTGAAGGAAGACCTCTAAGACATCCACGTCTTCCCTACTGTGGAATGGGCATGAGATGGTTTCTGTAAGTGCATTCTTCTCCTAGTTTTCTTACTTTTATATGAGTCTATGGCTAATTTTGGCTTATTATGGACTCTTGTAGTCCTTCTTTATTATTATACCAGTAATGTGACAAGAACTATTTTTAAAGGTTTATCATTGGTTTCTTCCTTGCTGCTATTCCATGGTATGTTCCAGCTTTAATTCTCCCATGATAACCGGGTAAAAATTATAATATGAAATATCAGTTAGTGGAGAATTCTAACTAATCATAAATTTTGTTTCTCTACTAAATTGTCTTTCCTAAAAAAACCTTTTTACCTATAGTTAATTACAATTTTGGGTGTGGAACACATCCTAACCGTCAAATCTATTTATCTACAGAAGTGAGAGTTATTTTTAAGGAATTTATTTATAGATATGCCACCGGTGCTCCAACAAATCTTCATGGAACACCAAAGCTATAGGCACATGTTAAAGGGAAAGAATTACGAAAACCCTCGAATAAATCACGATATGCCTCCCAAATCGCATCCATATTTGAAGAAGTGTCAATGTATGTTAGGACTAAAATTGGTATAGTGTTCATGTTCTCGAATGAATCGCTTAGTTGTCTGATTTTATTAAATACTTTTTATTTAGTCTGATTTTATTGAACAGTTGATACGTTAAAAAGTTTGTTATTTTGTAATTCTTTCGTTAAAAGAAGCGATGAGATCAAAACTTTGGTTGATATTTAGGCTAACAAGTTGGAATTTGAGCCAGTGCTTTGCATGGATCAATGTACTTTAGCTGGAGTTCCGATAGTTCCCTAAATCAATGTGAATTTTAGCCGGGTTTCCAATACTCGTCCATTATTTCACCTGTACCTTAGATTTAACTTTAAAACCCAAAAATTGAAAAAAGGCCACGTTAGTGAGCTCGATCCCGTAAGAAAACTGTTTCCTCCCTCCTTATCCATGTTAGGCGAAGTTGGAGATCCAATGGCGTGTTGACGGTTGACCCAATAATATATATTTTTTTACGGAGTGCTAGAGCGCAAGAGCCAAAGGTCACCTTGCGTCATTCTCACAATATTTTCTTTCAAAAAGAAAAAAAATTAAAACAAACATATATGCTAGTATGTTTAGATATCATGGTGATTTTTGTATGGGGTTTTCAAAACACTATGGTGTTTTTCTCCAAAAGTGTTTTCAAAACACTATTATAAGTTGCTTCTTATCAACAATAGTTTGACATTTTATAACATTAGTATTAAACGTATTATTAATATATTAAATATTAATTATAATAAAATCTATTATAAGTATTGTTACATAATATATTACAAATACATTGAAATATATTAGTATTTATAATCTTTTCATTTTTAGAGGAGATATTATTTTATTATTAAATATTATTACATAACATGTTAAAATTTTTAATATATTATATAATATTATTCAAATATTAATGACATATTCTATTAATTAAATAATGTAATAAAATAATTCTCGCTATACAATTCAACAATATACTATTACTATATGGTTATTTATTAATAATAAATTATTATCTATTGTTTTATCAATATATCTTTGTTTAGTATTATTTACTATTAATTATATATATATTATAATAGTATCTAAACTATACTTATTATATTATATTAATATAATATTATTGATGTCTGATATCAAACAGTCAAATGGAAGGATTGATTAAGTTGATGGAGATCCTCTAACCATCCTGTTGGCCTTCTTGTTTTGATGATGTTTAACAAACAATTTACCACTAATGTTGTTTGTCTAGTATTTGTGTTTTCCTATGTATTGTAGACAAACAACGTCGTTGGAGGATGGATGGATTGCGCCATAACGACGATATCAAATGGAGGTTGGCGGAATTGTGGAGTGAAGCAACATGTAATTCATAGTTAAAGATCAAGTTCAAGCTTCATCCGCATCGTGTACCAAGTCAAGCTTAATTGAAGATCAAGATTGCTTGGGTAATGTAGTTTAGGATTTATATTATGTGTGTTAAGTACTCTAAGCTCAATTATCTATACACACACATTTTATTAGTTTCCTTGTATATATATGTAATCACATATATATACAACACAAGTTTTGGTTTTCATGTTTATAAATATGAAATTACATGTTTCATATTGTGATTTGGTTTATCTACTTAGATATGAAACAAATATATTTTCATATACATACTCATAGGTTTCGTTTTCTATTGTATTTGTGAAAATATTATATTATTAGTTTATAGACTTTAATATCAGTTTATACATGTTTTACTAAGTCTATAAAATCATTTTGTAAAGTTTTAAAAGTTGGTTTAGGTCAAAACATCAAACTCATGTGCTTACATTTTCATGTTTTGGACTATTTTGTGAAATGATGATATTTTTCATTTGGGAAGTCCTTTTTCGAAACCAGTCATTGTAGCATGTTTATTATCATGTCTACAATCATTCCCCAAAGTTTTACATTTTTTGGAATTTATTTGATTTTTTTAAACAGTGTTTCAAAATCAGATGTACAGCTTTTAAACAGTTTTTCAGAAGTATCAGTATTCGGTCGACCGCACCGGTCGACCGAACCTGAGTTCATATGTTCACTGGGCGACAGAGAGTCTGTCGGTCGACTGGTCCGGTCGACCGAAAAACTCCATCGGTCGACCGACGATGGTCCAGAGCCATTCTTTGTGTTTTTGCTCTCTGTCGGTCGACCGACGAAATTTCCGGTCGACCGACTATATGACCGTTGCTTTTTTCAACGGCTATTTTCTGAGCGTTTGCTGGGGCTATTTTGTCTTTTTGCTTGGGGTTTTTGTTGAGATCTTGAGTGGGTATAAATACCCAATTGCTGATCTCTTTTCATGTGATCAAGAATGTTTTAAAAGAAAGTTTTTAACAAGGGTTTTAAAAAGAGTTTAAGCTTGTTTAAGCTTGTTTAAGGGTTTGGTTTAAAGCAGTTTTAGCTTTCACAAGTGGAGGAGATTATCTTATTGTTTGGGCTTCAAATCTCCATCTCTCCATCTTGATCTAGAGAAGTTTTCCTAAACTCAACTCTAGCTTTACATTTATATACTTGTTTGATTATCATTGTTTATCTATAATTATTTGTTGATTATCACTTCTATTAAAGCTAGTTTTATATTGAGTTTAGTTTGATTTGATTTACTCTTTGTTTACACACACAACCATTAAGCTTATTGTATTTGCATACATTATATAATTAGGTTGTGGGAAGGTGTGACATTGAGTTGAGCTTAATTGAGTTCTCACCTTGTTAGAGAGAACAATCATTTGTTAATTTGTGC